ATCTCATGAGATTGGTTTTAAGTTACCAAACAGGCTGAACTGCCAACTGAAACAGGTCACCCTAAAATACAGCCTCTCTGTAGGCCAGACCAATGAGATCGTTTTATTGGTAGATGTCTCACAGTCCAAGGACAAGCTTTAGCTGTCAGCATAGGTTTGGAAGAGAGAAGGTACATTATCACATGTGTCACTGAATATTTTTGCTATTTGTCAACTATAATTTTGTAGAAATACCCATTAGCCTACTTGTCTGCCTCCCTCTTTCTTTTCATCTTTAATTTCATTCTCATACCCAAGGGACTTTTGTGTGTGACTGTTCATAGTTAACAATCAATATAAAAGAAACTATTCTGTTAAATCGTATAAAAATTGACAGTATTTTACCATTTCTGACCTACAGAATCAGCAAGTTTATGTAGTTTAACATATGACATAGGAGACATTCACAGACAGCAGTTCAGAGATATTTGTCATTACTGAGAGGCTTCTAAATACAATAGCTCATCCATTTGAGCTTCTGCCAGCTCTGTGGGGTTTTATGTAGCCAGTTCCATATGAAGACCTTCATTTGATCAACTACGTGTACAATATTGTCTTTTTTAAAAAACTCAATGAACTTATTGCACATTTATTATGGGCTAGGCACCATTTTCAGCCTTGGATACAAAGATGCGTGCATCACAGTCCCTACTTTGCAGAGCATGCAATCTAAGAAGGGAGACAGGCATGGACATAATTATAGTGCAAAATAAAAAGCAACATAATAGATACAAATAACATGCTGAAAAGGCACTTACCACACCTGGCAGAGCAAGAAGACCTCTGAGCAGGTGACATTTGTGCTAGTTCTTGAAGGATGACCAATTTTCTAGGCAGAAAAGAGAGGAACAATACAACATCACCAAGCAGAATGACTTGTTCAAAGTCACAGAAGCACAACAAAGAAGGATGTTCTTGAAGAACCTTAGTTTGAATATAGATGGGACGCGAGGCAAAAGTGAGAGAAGCAGCAAGAGGGGAGGCTTGGATGGAGGGAAGATTAGGTTATGAAGGGCATTTCATGGGGGATGGGGGCTGAAAAGTTTGCATTCTCTTCTGCAGGTAGAGAGGAGTCACAAAACAGATACAGGTCTAAATCACTTGGATGTAAAACTGCTTTTTCTGCTTCGAATTCATATGTCCAGCCCAGTCATCACCTAACTGTAAAGAAACCTTACATTAATGATCCCAGAGTACCAGCTTCTGCAGTGTGAGTTCTTTCTGACACCGCCCTGGCACACATGTGAGTCCAAGCATCCTGGATTCCCAAGGGGTTGTTTCAGCCCTGACATCTCTCTTAAACATAGTCATTGAGCTGTGGTTCCTCACTGTGGCTGGAAGCATAGCCAAAGACTGCATTATTGTGAGAGATTGTGGCTTTGACAGTTACGTGTTCCTCCACTGCAGGGCTCTCTGCTTCACTTGGGTGAAGGAGCTTGCAAGCACAGCCTTCGTGTTTTCATATTTTCCTCATTGGGTAATTGCAAAATGGGCGAATCCACCTAAATGCAGCAAGATTGATTTCATCCCAACTGCAGACTGGCTAATCAGTGGCCTAGTTTTCCAGCCATGTGATCTGGCATCTGGCACTCACTACTCATCAAATGAAATTACAAAGCACCGATAAATTACCCACTCTCTTCTGGGCAGAACTTTTTCCCTTAAGCTACCTCCTGCTTAACACTTGTGTAATGTTTAATAGTACCATGGTTTATCTATACCAGGATGTCGGCTGGAATGTATGGAAACTTTACTAAGAATGGAGAATTTTATATATGTGTGTGTGTGTGTGTGTATGTGTGTGCATATGAATTATACATAGATAGACACCTGTTTATGTATTAATATATATGTGAATATGTGTGAATGAGTTATCCCATTTATGTGAATTTTCCACATGACGATCACACATTTTTGTTTTGTTTTACTTAAGTCCTTATGGAAATGTTTCTGAGGGAGTTGGAGGCGAAATTCTGCTCTGTTTGAATGCTTCTTCACCTCCAAGCTTTCTGTTCTTGGGCAGGAGACAGTCTCTCTCTGAGTCTTAGGTTTCTCAATTGTAAAATGAGAATAGTAGTAAATAACTCATAAGTTGATATGTGAATTAAGTAGGGTGTGTGTGTGTGTGTGTGTGTGTGTGTGTGTGTGTAAGGTGTTTGGTATGCAGAGAACATCCAAGAAATGCCAACAATTAATACTTTATGCCTGTTAGAATTGGTCCTGAAATATTGGGGCCTTCATCAGTAGCAGTAATCATTGCAGGAAAACTAATAATGGCACCCTCAGGGACTTTTAAGAGCCAGAAAGTTATTTGCCCTGCACTTGATGACCACAGACTGCCAGGCTTTTCCCCAGCCCTGTCTGGTGTTTTAGTGTTTCTGTAGCATCCCTTGTTTTCAGATTGTGGATTGTCACATTCTGAAATCAATAGTATGTATAGGAACCCAGCAGCTTTCTTCCTCCCTTCGTGATTCACTGACAAATCAAATCATCCAACTTGCTAAAATTCCATCTAAAGCAGGATATTAAAAGCTCTGATGGAACACCCAAGTCTGTGCTTCAGTGTCTGCACTATATACTATTTTAGCCACTCAAAGACCTTTTCTGCCCATTTCGAGATTATCAGCTATGGAGGACAAATAATGCATGATCTCATGTTTGAAAACTAAGAAGCAGAGACTAGAATGGTGATTGCCAGAGGCTGGTGGGAGGGGGAAATAAGGAGATGTTGGTTGAAGGGTACAGAGTTTCAGTTATATATATTAGATTCGGTTTCAGTTATATATGATGAATCAGTTCTAGGGATCTAACATGCAGCTGCATGACTGTTTTTAATGATTTGTTTAGTCACTCAGTCGTGTCTGACTCTTTTGTGACCCATGCACTGTATAGCTTGTCAGACTCCTCTGTCCGTGGAATTCTTCAGGCAAGAATACTGGAGTGGGTTACCATTTCGATACTCTATTGTATACTTGAAATTTGCTAACAGAGCAGATCTGATTAATTAGCTTGATTATGGTGATTATTTTGCAATCTATACATATGTCATAACCTCAAGTTGTACATCTTCAATATATATAACTTTTTTGCCAATTATACTTTAATAAAACCTGGGAGGGCATAAAAGAAACTATAATTTAATATAATAAATTAAAACTGTGACTTATTTTTTAAAAGATTATCTGCTATGTCTATGATAGATGATATTGCTATCAAGCGACCTCAAGAAAAGTGAGAGGATACTTATATCATTTTACATTTGGATCTGAGTGATACTGGTCTTTAAAAGTCCATATCCTTAGTGATTCAGGAAGGAAATAATTGTACCACCTCCTTTTAAAGACAAAATATGGCATATAAATAAAAATATCTATGTAAAGTTTTTATGGTTTTAAAAAACTATGAAAGCATTATGCTAACTCAGCCTATCAAGAAGCAAAATTGGCTCCATAATCCAAATAGCATTTATTACATTGCTTGATTTTTTGGTGTGATTTTTAAACAAATAAATTCTCATGGGTCTTATTCTGCTTCTCTTCATGAAAACTCTGTATAAGGGAGATCAGAACTGCCCTGTTGTAGTTTATGTGAAACGCACCCCCTGAAGTTGTGCAGGAAAGTGGTCCCAAGTGGGACTGCCTTTATAATAGCTTTGAGTAATTTGGTTTTTTAGGGAGTTTTAGCCAAACCATCAGTATTCAAGATAAATACATTAATCGCCCGTTCATTCCCCTCACTGTGAATGTTTGTTAGCAACATACATTCTAATTTAGAGAATAATTTTTCCAATAATTCTATGCCTTTTTTGTCACTTCAAATATTATAAACTTGGTTCTACAAAATAAGTCCTAGACCTCAACTGATTCTCCGTTTTGGCGCATAAACAGCACTACATTCTTTGTTGTTGTTGTTTAGTTGCTAAATCGTGTCCTCCTCTTTGCAACCCCATGGACTAGATTTTTTGTGACCCTAAGGATTATAGCCCACCAGGTTACTCTGTCCATGGGATTTCCCAAGAAAAAACACTGGAGTGGGGTGCTGTTTCCTTCTTGAGGGGATCTTCCTGATCCAAAGATTTAACCTGGGTCTCCTGTGTTTCAGGCAGATTCTTTACCACTGAGCCACCTGAGAAGCCCAAGTAGACTATATTTGAAACAAAATATTCCTCTTATCTTACCTCTCAGTTATGTTCCTTCTTCTAGTCAATCTCCTCCCCCAACACACACATACACACACACACACACACACACACACACATACATGCACATGCACACACACACACACACACTTGCACCACAGATTCCCAAACAGTGCACATTGGCTGTGGACATTTACACATCTTACTCCTTCCCTTTGGAAAGCCTTATACCTGCTTCCTTCCCTGGCAAATTTTGATGTTTCCATTAGAACTCAAGTGAAATGACCAGTCACACCCTTTTGAAACTTTCTCTGTCTAGTATGCTGGCCTCCTCCCATGTGTTTTTATAGCACTTGCTCTTCACTCTGCCTTAGCCCTTAGACACTTCCATGCCAGCAGTTGCGCTGAACTGGAAACTCCTTAAAGACATGACCCTTTAAATCTCTTTTGTATTCATCTTGTCTGGCACATAGCAGGTTCTCAATACTTGGTGAATGATTTCATGAATTTCATTTCCCGCTAATGAAAAACTTCACTGTACTTCCAACTGATTTAGCAGATCGTGACCTATTAATTTTGAAGTTCAATACACTTCTGATTATCTTATCAAATGACTGAAAATGTAAACATTTGAGAATTTCAGTATGAACACTTGGGCACGGGGAAAAGTTTAGGGGTCTTAACCTAGTTTTCCTTGCTCATTATAAAACATGTTGATTTCTTCAGGTAAAAAAGCTTCCCCAGGTGGGCATTGACATGATAACAAAATAGAGCACTGAATGTCAATTGCAATTATTTTTTTTTCCTTTTTTAATATTTTCAGGTTACAAATGCAGCAGCCAACTCTCTTGGTCAAATGACTCTTCATCTCCAGCCTTTTCTTGTGTGTGGAGGGGATGGATTTACTCAGTCCAACTTTGACGGCTGCATCACTTCTGCCTTATGTGTTCTGGAAGCTTTAAAGAATCATATATAGTACTGCCTGTATTGTTATTTTTCACATGTACTTTGGGGGTTTTGTTTTCACAATTTTCTGTCATTGATTATTTTGTTTTCTATTTTGTTGAGAGAAATTACTGGAAAAATTGTTCTTTACTGATTGTTATTTTTCACGTGGAGTATAAAATCAATTTTATAATTTCAGTAGTTACAACTCCTACAAGAATGAAAATTCCTTGTACTTTATACTTCTCCACTTTTCTGAATCGCCATATCTACCCACTCCTTGTTGGAGGCAAAGTAGTGTTTAAGAAAAAACAAATAGCTCTCCCCCCAAATTATGTCAAATCCAAGTAACAGTTCATGTTCACTGACCTTTGTTGTCCTTTTGAAAATTTCGGTCCCAAATAAAGAATAATTATTATCAAGACATCGTGATAAATCTTCAAGTATATCCTTGATTTGATATTTTTGCAAATTGCTGAACTGCGATATTTCTCCAAACTGTGGAAACAAAGGGTAATTTTTGTTTCTCATTTCTCTTCCAAGTTATTAAGTGCTCCTGAATTGTAGGTCACATATGTCATCATCTCTAAGAACGCAATTTGGAGGGCAACTTGACTGACAAAGAAATGCCTCTTCAAATTTTCAGAAAATAACCAGATTCAACTTGACTTCCCAAGTCACACAGTACTTTTTAACCTTAAAAAAGCCAGCATTAATGGGAAAGATAAAAATTATATAGAAGCTGAGAGAAATTATATTGATCTTTACCTTGTGCTATCTCCCGTGGCTAGTGCTGTTACTTTTACGCCCTCTCCAGTGTGTGCTGTGGCATTTAGACTGTGTCAAGTTTAATGAATTTAATACAAAAAAAATTTACTGAACCAGAAAATAGATGCACTTAAAATAGTTCAATATTTGCCAACTTAGCGGTTCAGCATATCACCCACATGCATCAGTGACAACCCATGACTTGCTGGCTCAAGAGAAATTGATCCCCAGCCTTCTGAACAAGGTACTTGTTGCTAATTTGGAAAGCAAACTGGTGAGTTCCCTTTTGTCATTTTGAAAGGAAAGAAATCGTCACAGCCTCTCGCATCATTGCAGTCTCTCAAACTAAGAAAAGTTTCACAAAAGACCCCTTAGCTTGGTGGTATTTAAAATCTCACACTGACATGCCCACTATCAGGCATACACATACACAGGCATGGGCAGAACTTGTTTACGTAACTACAAAGTGGGGTTTTTTTCTATGGAATGGTCTTATACATCTCCTACTTGCAATCAATTGATGGAAAACTGAAATGCCTACGTATGGTTAATGTCAGTTATTTTTGAAAATATAGAAAGGAAAAGGGAAATTAATGTGATCTGTTTTATGATACAAGGAAAAATATTGAGATTTCTTTCATCATTTTGGCCTATATTTGATGAACATTTGTCTTTATTTTGGTTATACCCTTAAAATATGGTAGCAAATATATTCAATATATTAACTATTTTGTTTTTAACTAATATAATTCTGGAGCCATCTGACTGAAAGCATCCTAAAGCTTTAAAGCAATGTTATATTTGTTTCATGAGTGTATATATTCCAAAGAAGAAAAAAATATTTATAAAAGTGGGACGTGTTGCTTAGAGAAAGTATGCTAAGCCATTACAGACGAGTTATTTTTTATTTAAAATATTTTTTAATGTGAGCCATTTTTGAAAGCCTTTATTGAATTTGTCATGATATTCTTTATGCTTTATGTTCTGCTTTATGTTTTGTCCATGAGGCATGTGGGATCTTAGCTCCCTGATCAGGGATCAAACTCACACCCCCTGCATTGGAAGGCGAAGTCTTAACCACTGTACCACCAGAGAATCCCACTGATAAGTTTTAATATCTGTTCATTCGAAATGCGTTTCCCTAATAATTGTGCGTCTGCTTAGAAAAGACTGTAGCAATATGAGAAAAGATATACAACCCTGCTTAGTATGTAGGTCATTGTTACTTTGCTGATTTAATCATTTGAAAACTCATTTTACATTTTGATCCATGTCTGATAGAAACAGACCAATTCCCTGATGCTCAAATAAGGAAAGAAAATGTATCAAAAGCTTGTGTTCTCTATCTTTATTTACCTCTTCCTCTTGAGAAATTTAAATAGATATAGGACTGTCTTGTGCTAGAAGCCATCCCAGAGGCCATGAGATTCAGATGGCCGGATGCCCTAAAAGACCCAGAGCAAAGGTAGCCGAGTCCCCTGAGAAATACGGGTCAGTACCTTTGGGAAAAGGGTGTATGTATGTCGGCTCCCACAGGACCACACAGCACCACAGTACTTCCAAACAAGAACTTTTATTAATCAAACACAGTCAAGGAAATCTGCTCTGTTTTGAAAGGAGCATATTCAAGTGAGAAACGGCTTGAGCAGTGGGGTGATTTAATACTTGTTAGCTGATAAATATAGCCTTTGCTGGAATAAAACTATACGATGCAGGGTTGAAAAGCTTAATTACTAAACTGTCTATGCACGTCTTGCTCAGGCAGCGAGGGTGACAAATTATAGCAGTCAAGTAGTATTTTTCACCTTTGGCATTTCTGAAAGGGAGAAGTATGTCTAAAAACATCGAGAAAGCAGTAATAATCCCAGACCAGATATTACTGAGGGGGAAAAAAAGACATATTATTGAGTCACCAAGTCTTCTGTGCAAAATGCCGTCAGCCCCACCCCTACGCCTACTTGGTACCTTGTTAAGTAAAAAGAACAAGGTCAATTTTACATTTATCTGATATTTTATTCTCATCCAAGTATATGTGCATGTGTGTGTATATATATATATATATATATATATGCTTCGTGCTCTGCTCAGTTGCTTGGTTGTGTCCAACTCTTTTGTGACCCCATGGACTGTAGCCCACCAGGCTTCTCTGTCCATGGGATTTCCCAAGCAAGAATACTGGAGTGGGTTGCCATTTCCTACTCCAAGGGAATCTTCCCGACCCAGGGACAGAGCCCGCATCTTTTTGCATCTCCTGCATTGGCAGATGGATTCTTTACCACTGCACCACCTGGGAAGCACAATATATATAAATTCTGGCATTACTTTTGAAAACTCAGATATTGATTCTCCCATCAACTTGAATAAAAAGCATTGACTGCTTTATATTTTAGAAAAAAGATTATATATAAATAAAACATATATATGTATATTTCAAGTACATCTGTATATATATGTCTTTTTTTCCATCCTCCTAATATCTTGTAAAATAAACAGAGCAGGGAATTATTATTCACATTTGACAAATGAGGAAACTGAGGCCCAGAGCTTGGCCAAACAAGGTCACATCATCAAATGCAGGACAAGAACCCAGGCCTCCCATGACCCATTTCTATTTACGTGGCACCACGCTGCTACCAGATGAGCATGATAATTAAAGCTGAACTGAACGTTGGTTGGAGGTGCAGTCAGCACCATGTGGTCCCCTTACTGATGTTTCTTCTCAGAGAGCTAACACTAATCCTGATGTGATGTATACAGGAGTCTAATACGGAATATAGTCTCTGTAGGTACTGACTAAATGATTTACATCCCGTTATTTTCATTTGCTGGTTTATTTCCTTCTTTGGGGGGCACTTGCTGTGAGAAATGTTTGCATCCTAATGACACTGAATTTCAACCCAGCAGTAGCTGGTTAGCAAACAGGCTCCCTCTGCATTCAGCCTTCCCTTCTGTACTCCTCTTTGTCTCTCCATTCCTTTTGTTTCATTCTGTCCTCTTTTCAGTTCCTACCATCCCTTTCTCCCCTCCTATTTTTTTTCCCTCCCACTTCTTACCCTGTGTCCAATTCTCCAGTCTCAGAAATCGGGAATATAAATACAACCACATTATGATTCATAGCATTTGTAATTTTTTGCTTTAATATAATCTCTTTTTCCTACAATTCAAAGCAGTCAATCCTGCTTTTTATTCAAGTTGACGGGATAGTCATTATCTTGATTTTTCCAAAATAATGCCAGAATTTAAAACTGTAGCTTTCAAAGATCTCAGTGCTAATAACCTAAAATATGGTACCAGGCTCTGTGGTGGACATAATGGAATATAATTAGCCATCTCCACCTAAGATGCGAGTTAGGGGAACACAAGTCCCGTAGAGTGGGAGGCAGTAATCACAGGTAGTAGATAAATACTGGGAATCCTAAGAGGAAGAACCATGTTTCCTCTCAAGAGAGAGGGTCTCCAAACAGAAGCAGGGATCCATCAGGAAAACAATTCTGGCAAAATCCCTCTGCTCCACACCATAATTGGGCAGCCCTGGCTGCCTTTAGGAATCCAAAGTGTGTGTCAGGGTGGTCGGGAGAGTGAGTGCTTTCTGTGGAGAAGGCTCAGTAAAACGCAGAACGTGGTCTCTGGGAAAAGGAAGGAGGAGCCTCAACCAATCTCAGACTAGCTGGTGCAGGACTGAGTTGCTGTATCCTCTCTGGAATATCCTTGTGTTTCAGCCAATATCATCTGGCCAGGTAAGCCAGGAATGGTTGTAATGGTACTATGTCCTGTGTTTTCTTCTCAACAGACAGAAATTATAGTCTACTTAAGAGTTTACAGCAGAATCTATCAAATGTGCCTGCTAAGGAGAAAGAATTTCCAAAGAGAGTGTTCATTGAAAGGCACATAGAATCATCTTGGAATGTCTAAGTTTAGAGGGCCTTGGAGACTGTTTAGACCAGTTCTTAGCCATCTTGGATTTTGAACCTACTTGAGAAGCTTGGGAAAGCTATGAGATTTTCTCCCAATAACAACAAAAATAAGGATGCACATGTGCAAATAGAATTTGCATACCATTTTAGAGCCTACTGGCTAGCTGCTTGTTTTTGTAAATAAAGTTTTATTGGAATACAGCCTTGCCCACTTGTTCGTGTATCATCTGTGGCTGTTTCTGCATTATAACAGTAGAGAGGAATGTTTGCCATAGAGACGATATATCCTACAAAGTAAAATCGTTGCTATCTGGTCTTTTAAGAAAAAAATGTGCTGACTCCTGTTTTAGGAGGTTACAAACCCTCCAAAATCTATTTTTAAACACTGAAGGGGGAGCTCCATGGACCTCAGATTAGTAAGCTCTAAATCTGCATCCTTATCAATTTATGTAAATATAGGCTTATCTTAGATGTACACATTTGGTCCACTACTCCTTGATCCCATGCCCCATCATAAATCCTTTAATGCAAGCAGTACTGTTTTGCACATATCCCCTGGAGTTAAATAGATCTGTTTTAATCCAGACTTTTGCTCCTCATTCTGTGGCCTTGCAGTTAAACAGCTACACAGCCCTCTTCATTGTTGAAAACTGAGTTAATGGTAGCTGCCTTGTAAGATTGTTGTAAGGATTAAATATACTTAAAACCTTAGCAAAGTGCTGGACACATAGTAAGTGCTCAATAAATAATAGCAATGATGGTGATGATGATGATGAAGGGAATAAGAGTAAGGAAGAAAATGTAAGCAGACCCTGTGCCTCAGAGACCCCTGCAAAAGGCAGTTTCCTCTGCATTTATGTAGGACACTTAGGAGAGTTGATGGTAAGAAATCTGTTCATTGACTAAATGCTGATAACACTCGGAAACTTAACAGCTCTAGAATCTCAATACCTTCATGAAACAAAACAGTAGGGTCTGCCTGAGACCAGGTGTGGGCCACTTTCTCCTTTCCTGTCCTAGCTAATAAGTATATGCTTGGGGCAGAGGGTTTGCTCTAACGTGGTCCTTGGGAAAAAACCAGGATAGGTCATGACCAGAAGTAGGGATAATGTAAAATAGAAGTGTTCTCTGTAGTGAGTGGTGTCTTCTCCTTAGCAAGTATGTGTGCTGAATGCAAAGAATTGCACGCTTGGATTGGATTCTGCTGAAGATTATTTACTTATCTCTGAAATGCTGTGAAAACTGGGAGTGAGTTATTTCACATTCTTGACATGTTTGGCTAAGTATGCAGATTCATTTCCTGTCCCTGGCCTTCATTTTAAAAAGCTCAACTCCTGGTAGATTCTGTGACATCCTAAACTTACCACTTTCTAGATGTGTAATCTTGGACCAGTTTCTTATATCGTTGAGCCTCAGGAGCTTCATCTATAAAATGAGGACACTAATTTTTCCTGCCTTAAGGTTAGGGATTATTTGAGTGTTTTAGAATATAATATGTAAAGTCTTTAGCATTGTGCTCTGCACATAGAAAATAATAAATGTTAGCTGTTACTGTGAATCTCACTGTTAGTGAAATGTGATTTAGGAAAATATTTCTGTCTCATAACCATCACACCATCTATAGGTAGCTTTAAACCTAGCTAGGAAGCCACTTTATTACCTGTAAAACTCCTGGGGACTGTATTCAAATGCCACCATAATTTTGGCTTCATTTAAACTAAATTTTTGTCAGAAATTCTTATTGACTCTTGAGTAAATGAGTGAATAAATGTTTTATGGTTTATTGCTGTGCTCCTTAATATACCTTGCACAGCACACTGTTTTTCCCCAGCCAGTCTAGTCTCCCTACATTTGTGATACCAACCACATGTGTACTAACTTGTTCTGTATCTACTTGCCACCAAAACTGGCAAGATCAACACCATCAGGGCCTGGCACGTAGGAGGTACTCATAAACAGATGTTGATGCAGTGAATAAATACATTCAACTGATGAACATTGCTTAGTCTAATTTCAACAAGTACCAAAAACATTGCTGATAGAATCATCCCATAGAAGAAAAATGTACCAACCTTATCTTCAGTGTGCTGGTGCTGAGACGCTCCATCGTGTCTGACTCTTTGCGACCCCGTCACTGTAGCCCACCAGGCTCCTCTGGCCATGGGATTCCCGCGGCAAGAATACTGGAGGGGGTGCCACTTCCTCCTCAGGGAATCTTCCCAACAAACCCACGCCTCTAACATCTCCTGTATTGGTAGGCAGATTCTTTACCACTAGTATCACCTGGGAAGCCTTATCTTCAGTAGAGGAGATAATTACAAAAGTACCTACATGCTCCCTATTTGGTCTGTATCCATCAATAGGTGAGTTCAGAAAGTCCCTGCTTTATGCTCCCTCTCACTTTGGGAAGTCCTTATTTGGAGGCAGGGGAATATGGGAGAGCTGCTCTCTGTTTGAAACTGCCTAATAAACATTGTATTTCACTTTTGATTTTGCCTAATATATAAAGGTTTCTGCCTATGAAGCCAAACATTTGAGCAAAGAATGCACGAGACTAAAGAAGCCTGATGAGTCTGTTTTATGTTTCTTATGGGAAACTGAAGTCATATATATTGAAAATTATTAAAATTAGACAGTTGAATTATCTGAAGAGGGGAATTAGTAGAATTTCAATTTAAAGAATTATTGACTGGAAATTCATTTTTGCATCAATTTCTGCACTTTTACCTCTCCAGAGTACTTGGTTCACTTCTTTGTTCTTTTCAGTGCCTCTGGTGCACATGGCATATTAAAGTCGGGTGAATCTTGCAAAGCCTTGGAATCAGGATTTCTTTAGAATGTAGTAAACTCTATTGGGAGAGGTTTTGTCTGTGTGTGTCTTTTTTTTCTTCACTTTGGAATTCCCCAGTACCCAGAACAGTGCTTGTCACAAATTGAGTGACTAATTCAAGAAATTTAGACCATCAGATTTTAGGAAGCTGCGTTATATAATTAGAAGATGTAGCAAAAGAAATGAAAAACTAGAAGGCTTTCAAGTCCAAAAAGATACCAAAAAATGAAAATGAAAAAGCTTTCGAGTGTTACTTATGTAAGTTCCAAAGACAAGAGTCATGTCTGACTTATCTAAAATATATCCCCCAAACCTAGCACAGAGTATGTCACATAGTAGACCCTGAATAATTTTTTATTGAGTGGATAAGTGATTGAAAAAAGGAAAGCTTATGTGAAAATGAGTGTTAGATTCTAAAAAACCCAAGAGAAAAAAATCCTAGAAATATATTATTTAAAATGAACCATCTCTGTGTAGCTGTTGTGTTTGTGTAATACACACATGTGCTAGAGCGGGGACAGGAGGACAAGGATGCTTTTCCTGTGCAATCAGCATAGCTTCTGTGGCAGTCTGTTCTGCATTGTGGTTTATCATCTACCAACAATGTGTAAGCAGGGTTTATTGGATCAC